TGAGTTTTTTCCTCATGTTGAGTGGGGGAACTAACCTTCTCCTGGAGTCAGATAAATAAGGTAGTTTATGCATTAAAAGGGTTGGTTGTGATTTCCTGATAAAACATTCGCTTATATTTTATTTTGATGTTAAATTATTTAATAATGAATCCATTGTTACAGTAGGAAAAATAATGGATAAACTACTTAAAATTAAAGGGTTATCTGTTATGAATGATTTTCAAAACAGATCATTTGAACAATATAGTTAACTGAAGAGATCACAATGGCATGACTGTAGGTGTTCAAATATATGTGTATCCTGTATTTCATGCTTCTAAACTTTTCTGCTTTAGACCCAGTTTTCAACGCACAAACTGGTTTGAGCCCATGGGCCGTGAGTACCATCAGGTTGTGGAAAAAGTGGGTGTGATTGACCTGTCACCGTTTGGCAAGTTTAAAATCAGAGGCAAAGATTCTGTTAAATTGCTGGATCATCTGTTTGCAAATGTCATTCCAAAGGTAAACAGAACTGTGATAAGTTTATTAACCCAGGACTCAGGCATACTGGATCAGTTTCACAAATGGAAATGATGCTGTTATACCTTTATTTCTTCACATAGTAATCTTAAGGGAAAAATCACCCATCAAAAGTCCCTGGGAATACTTTTGCTAAATTGCAGCTTGCACAATGGAGGTTATGTTAATTTAACTGAGTTGTCAACAACCCTTTGACAGAAGTCTTTATATGAAGAAGGCCTAAAGGCATCTCACTTGGAATTTCTTTAGCCATGTTAGAATAGCTCAAAATAAGGTTGTCCAAGGTTCTCAGGGCAGTGCTGCTACACTTAACAGTCATAAGTGGAGCTCTCTCCCTTTAAAGAAGAGAGAGGCACTAACAGGGTAGTCCTTGTGGAGCCCAGGATTTTGTTTATATTTGGAGGCACATGATCCCTTGCTCTAGAAAGGGCTGCAGATTCGTAGCATTTAGGAACACTGGGCCAGAAGGAGCTTTTTGGGCCATTGAGGATAGTCCCATGAATTTGTAGATCATAATTACTTGAAAAAA